GAATTTTCATATTCAACATTTGTAATCACTTTACAACCAAAAGAAGCACTTAATGAACTCAGTAACTTCAAATTAAAATTAGAATAAAAACATTTATTTACCCTTCATTTAATAGAGTTGTGGTAATCTTTTTTTGGTTTTGGTTTTTAAAATTTAAACAATTAAAATTAACAAATAAAAATTAAATTTAAAAATTAAGATTGAGAAAATAATTAGTATATCATTCGATTCAATATACCGCTCCAAACCGATCCAATTCAATTATTAAAATATAATATAAATACAACCGATTCAATTAATTCTCATATGATGTATGTATGATTATATTTTTAAGTATGTTTACTTTTAATTTTAGATAAATAATAATAATTTTTTAATAAGTGTATTGTGCATTGTGCATTGTGCATTGTGCATTATATTAAATCAGAAGAGTATACCTATCAATGTCTTTAAAATTAACAATTTATTAGGTATACATTTTTAAAAATAATACCCAAAACTTTAAATTTAATTAAATTATAAAACTTATTAATTTTATCCTAAAATCTTTAAATTTTTAAAAACTATAAAAAAAAAAAACTCAAAATTACAATCATACTAAATGATACCTTATTGTTAATGCTTTGCTAAATGTAAAAGTTAATTAAGTCAAACTAACCATTTTTAGTAAGTATCACTGGTAAAATAGAAGGACATTGATTGATATATTTTATGATTTAACATACCCACAAACAACTATTAGTTTATCAATTAAAATTTATAATTTTAAGTTTTTTACTTTTAATTTAAATTTAAAAATAATAATTTCTTATTAGATATGTTATGGTGTATATTAAACTCAAAAATATAGTAATCATTGTTTTAAATAAAATTGAGAGTGATTTTTTGATTTTTTCTGCGCCAAGCTGGAGTGTGATTTTGGTCCCGCTTTTAACACAGAATGACATAATCTTTATATATACATATAGAATGACAATCCTATGAGTTGAATTTAGTGTTAAGAACATATAATTGTCTTGTAAGCTAAGTCAAGGATTTAAGTATTAGAGTTTATATCCAATAAAATTAATTTTTTAAAATATACTTAGTGTAAGTATATCTTTAAAATTGATCAAAGTATGATTAGTTTTAAGGTTGTAGAAAGTTAAGTTGAGAACATTCTAATTATTCATTCAAAAAACATATAGACTAGGAGGTTTGGCTAGAAGGATGGAAATTTTGATTTCTACTGGATCGATATATATTTAATCCAATTAAGTTTATAGAAATCGGTTAAATTGCGGTTGAATCAGAAATGAGTTGCAACCACAATCAAAACCGACGACATTTTTTTGTAAAATTTTGATCTTAACCAAATTCAACAGATAACCAAATTAGTTAAATCAAAATTTCATAATTTGGTTTGAAAATTTGATTAAGTCGGTCTAGCCCAGCCACCCCTTCTCAGCTACTCTATGTATTATTATTTATCTAGCTACAAGAAGAAGAAGAAGAAGAGAAAAAAA